AGAGGAAAGCATTTCCCAGGAGAGTGAGGGGTAGAGAGAAAAGGGTCAGCCAAGGGAGACAAGGGGAGAATCTGGAAAGCCAAGAGAATTTCCTGATCTGCTCGAGGGCAGGAGACCCAACACTGACCCCATTGTAAGAGCAATCCCTTTGGACAAAATTGCAGGTTCCCTCCTCCAACGACAGCGGTAGCGCTTACGAAGGTAGATGAGGCCATCGGCTCTCTCGTGCCCTTACTCCACCAAGGGTCAGGGACTCTTGTGCTGGGGGATTTCTACACTGGGACCCTACCAGGTGAAACAATTGAGGCTCCTATTCCCCCTCCTCCCCACCATCTCCCTGGCATCAGGATCAGGTACCCTGTAGACACTTAATAAATGCATGCATGTTGACTGACTGAGTGTATTCTTCTCATATCACTCTGCTCCCAAGAGAAGAGATCATAGGACCATATGATGATATGAGAGCTGCAAGGGACCCTAAAGGTCATGACAGAACCAGAGCCTGAGAGGGGATCTCAGTGGCCTCTCACCCAACTGGGACATGAAAAGAATCCCCTCTCTAGCACACCTGACAAGTGGATGGTTGTCCTGCCTCTGCTTGAAGACCTCCAGGGATGGGGAGCTCACTACCTCTCATGGTAAGCTCCTTAAACCCCTTTCTGCGACCAATGAGAAACCTGAGGCCCAGAGAGGTTGGGCTTGCTCCAGGATGCACAGGGGCCAGGGTTGGAACCTAGTGACTGTGACTACCAAACCACCACTCTTCTCCACTGGATCAGTGTCCTGAGTGGGTGCAGGCAGATACAAATTGGGCCTAAGTGCCCCTATGCACAAGCACAGCCCGCCTACCTCTGGGAGCTGCTGGTCCCTCTCGCCCAGCTGAGGCCCTGCCTGTACCTAGACCCTCTCCCTCTGAGGCTGGAAGATTTCTCATGAGAGAGCTGCTTTACCCACGGTCGGACACCAGAGGGCAACAGTCACAGTTACATCCAAAGTCTCATCACATCTGGTCAAAGAAAGAGGAGTCTGGGGTGGCACAGGATGGCAGGGGTGCATGCTGCAGTGAGGCTGCCTGGGAGGCTGCCCCAGAGTGGAGGGTGGCACCTCCTCCTTGGGTCCTGCAGCAGAATCTGGACAGCCTCTGGTTGGGGATGCCATCCTAGGGAGGCTTTCCAGGTGTGACTGGACTCAGTTTCCTCCAAGGTCCCTTCCAGCTCGACAATTCTAGGCTTCTGGGAGGTCTAGCCTCTCATGGAGGGGAGGCTAGAAGGGGCAGCCTCATCCTTCTCTGGCCCTAGTTACATAAAGTTGGGAACAAAGGGGCCAAATCCCAGCTCTTCTCCTAAATACCTGTTAGCCCTTGGGCCAGTCACTTCCTTTCTTTACCCCCCTCCCTCCCCTAAACCCCAGGACCTGTTTTGTTCCTGTCGAGGTTTTCCTGGAAATTGTGGTTCTTAATTCTGGAGCCATCGAGGCACTGCTCTCTCCCACGTTCGATTGTTTCAAGTGTTGAGGTCTCCCAGCCTTTGTTGGGCTCCTACTGTGCGCACGGGCCCTGGGCAGTCAGGGAGGGCCAAATCTTAACAGCAAAGCAAAAACGAAACAGGCATCGTCCCCACGCTCTGGTGTTGTTTGTCCTTCATTCTCCAAGAGGACCAATGACATCACGGGGCCCTGTCTGGACTTGCCAGTGGATCAGATGGAAGTGAAGCAGGGCTGTGCCAAGTCACCAGCCTCACCCTCTCCTCCAGAGTCATCCGTGTGCGGTGGAAGGACACAGGTCAGGACGATAGGCCATGGCCTGGGGAGGGTGGAGAGCAGAGAAACTGGGCAGAGTGTTTTTGACATTGCTAGAGAAGGAGGGAGAGGAGGAGGAGGGAGAGGAGGAGAGGAGGAGGAGAGGAGGAAGAAGGAGGAAGAGGAGAGGAGGAAGAGGAGGAG